TAGCCATCATTTTTTTTTTTACTTTTTTGTGTTTGGACTGTTATGTTTTAAATAAGGACAAAGACATGTCAAGAAAAGGAAACAGACACAATGTTCTTTTTGACTATTTTCAGAAAGCTTCATGACTTTTGAAGAAGAGATAAGTGGAGAGCCCTGAGATTCTCCTTCCCAACAGGATTAAAAGGATGAATTGTATAATGTCCATGCAGCATCTTGATCTCCACAAGCCACCTCGCAGCCCCACCACAGGGAAGCAGGCAGCCTACTTTCCTTTCAACTTCTGTCAGCTATCCTGATCTCCCAGTGATTCATCCTCCTGAACACACTATGTCTGAGGAAGATTTGCGAGAAAATATGCTCTGAAGGTTGAATTCAGCATCAGGCAAAATGAGACTCAGAACCTAGAGCTACCCTGCCTCCTTTGAACTCCATCACCAGTGAAAACCTTTCAACCAAAATGCTTCATTCCCTTTCTGCTCCCTGCACCCACTGCTGCCGGAAAGGTGTGGGAGATCCACAGGGAAGGGTGGTGTGGGTGTCCCAGCGTCTCTACCCTCTGGCCATGTGCATGTGGCTTCAGTGGGGTTTTCCTTTCCTTGTAGTTTAGACAGCAGGATTTGAGCAAGGGTCAGGGGAGAAATATGAAAGTGTTTTATCTGTCCTGTATTGATCCTCATGATAAAAAAAAAAGTGACTATTTTGCTCTTATCTGTGTATTGCAGATCCCCATCACCTCACCTGTACCCACAGACCAGCGTCAATGTATAAACACACACTTCCTCCAGGGGCCTAAGAGCCTGTATTGTGTGGGTTACATGCCATCGTCCCCTCTACACCATGTCCTTATGCTGATAACCTAGTTAATCTGTCCTTACACCTACGTTCCTTCTTGGAAATTAATATATATGTACAGGTAAGACCATGAGTAAAGTGTTAGTGCTGTTCTAAATGATGACAAGAACACAGCACTTTGGCTTCTGGATGAATGGAGTTAAATAGGTCAGTGCAGAGTTTGAGGGTCTACTCTCTTTATTTTTGGATATATTGAAGTCAAAGTGTTACAACTAAAAACTTGCAACATCAAAGCCCAGTTCCTAAAAAGAAAGAAATTCCAAGTTGAGAAGGAATCAAAAGAAAACAATTCCAAGATTACCGGCTAGATTCTACTTCTAAAAGATTATATAAAGAGTCTATTTTAAGAATGAGACTTTCATTTTTTTAAGAACAAGAGTTTTAATTGAGATAAAGGAAAACTCAGGACGAAACTTGACATGTATTAGGTAACTTATGAATATTTCCATTCAAATATTAATACATGTAACTGTCAAAACAACATAAACACCATTTCCTCTGTGTCTTCTATATGAATCAGAGGGAAATAAATAAAAACTTCATTTTATTTTTACCTACTTGGTACATACCTAAAGCAATTATACATATGTATCTTCAAAATCATACATGTACCAAACATCATTCATTTGTGGGCAGTGTTGGTTGTCACTCAGAAAGTAGAAGTTGGGAGGAGAATGAGGTAACAACACCCACCACCACCAAAATAGCAAACCCCTGTCTAACATTTTGGTCTTTAATTTCTTTGTTTTGTAATTTAAAGATGGATTTTCTGCCATTAAACACATAAGAATTCCTGCAAAGATGGTTTCTTAAGCTCAGGAACACAGCCGAGCATCTCATGGGAGGTTAATGAGTGTGTTGACCCCCAAGGAGTATGACCACCCTGAGGAAGGAACAAACGGGTTAGCCCCTCAGGTGCCCAAGGATGGTCATGCTGTATAGAAATAAAGGTGCACCAATGAAAAGGGAGGCAAGCCAACCTCGTGGGCATGCACCTGCTGGCTTTCTCCAGCCCAAGGTGAATCCTGGAATGAAGCACACACAATCTCATGAAAGTCAAATGCCATGCACACAATACCACAATTTGTGTTTCTTAGACCTAGAGAGTCTATGTCCCTCCATCTCCACCACCATGTATGCCCGCTTTCCACACATCATACTGCAGCCAAAGAAATTTCCCCACATTCAGAGCTGACCATTCAATACCTTGCTCTTCTTGGAATCAGTTCCACAAGTCTCTAAGCAGATCTGCAAGGCCCTTTGCCCTGGTTTCTTCTGAATGCACCAGCTGCACCTCACACTAAGCTTCCCCACCTCATGCAACCGCCACTGTGGCTTCTCTTGGTTCCTCAAAGCATCCTGCCTCACAGGCTCTCACTCATGCAACTCTTCCCATCCAGAACAATCTCCCCATCTCATGACTGTGGCATACTTAATTCTTTAGGTCTCTGCTTAAATGTTAGTTTTGCAAGGACTTTTCTTACCACGCCAAAAACAATCAGAACTCTATGATAGACAATATAACAATCCCTGTGTTTCATTTTTTGTTCTATTTTCCAAAATGATTTTTAAAAATTAATTCCCTGTAAAAAGGGTTTACTATCTGTCCATGCCCCAGGTTCTAATTCCCATGTAAGAGGAGCCATACGTTGTACTGAATACTCTGTTCTGAACTAATATCATGTCTGAGGCATAGTAGATAGTCCATAAATATTTGCTGAGTTGATGGATAAGATTGTGGGATCTCCATGGAGATGTTTCCCAAGTAATATTTCTAGCAGATATGGAGGTCATTAAAAAGTGACAGTCAGAATTCATAGTTATCTGTCTTCTGACAATAAAGTAAATGTCCTAGAGGAGATGAAAGTAGATAGTGGGTTTCATTACTGGAGGATAGGAAATAACTTGAGTTAATTGAGGCAGATGTGCATGAGTAATACTTTAGAAATAAAATAGAGCTACAAAGATATATATATGAGATTCAGTTCAGCCCTACATCTAGATAAAATTGTTTCCAACAACTAATGCAGATCATTACATTTTTCTTTCATTCTACAGTGTATTACCCTCTATGACATCTTGGAAAGTAGGCTAATATACTAATTGAACATTTCTTAGAACACATCTCCTTTCTTCTCTTTATTTTTCCTTCTGTTCACTGCTTGTAATTTTTCCATGGCAAACACCTAAATTGGATATGACTAAATGTTAAGAAACATTAATATCCACCCCACCATCCACAACCAAAGAATTTGACTGACCTTACTATGTAAAAACTGAGCTATAGGTTTGTAATTATTTTAGACACAAAAATGAGCCTCAGGAAAAAAAACTCAACCTATACCTTGGGAAAGCATTAATAAAGAACTCAAAAAAACTTAACAACAAAAAAACCAAATAACCCAGTCAATAAATGGGCTAAGGAACTGAACAGATACTTCACAGAAGAAGAAATACAATTGATCAACAAATATATGAAAAAGTGTTCAACATCTCTAGCAATTGAAGAAATGCATATCAAAACTATTCTAAGATTTCATCTCACTCCTGTCAGAATGGCAATCATCAAGAATACAGGTAACAATAAATGTTGGTGAGGATGTGGTGAAAAAGGTACACTTATACATTGGTAGTGAGACTGCAAATTGGTGCAACCACTATGGAAAGCAATACGGAGATTCCTCAAAAAAATGGGAATGGAACCACCGTTTGACCCAGCTGTCCCACTCCTTGGTTTATACCCAAAGGACATAAAAATCAACATACTGTAGTGATGCAGCCCACATCGATATTTATAGCAGCTCAATGTACAATAGTTAAACTATGGAACTAACCTAGGTGTCCCTCAATAGATGAATAGATAAAGAAAATGTGGTATATATACTCAATGGAATATTACTCAGCTTAAAGAAGAGTAAAATTATGGCATTTGCCAGTATATGGTTGGAGTTGGAGAATATCATGCTAAGTGAAATAAGCCAATCTTACAAAACCAAAAGCTAAATGTTTTCTCTAATATGCAGATGCTAATTCACAATAAGGCAGAGGGGTACTAGAGAAGAATAGTGTTACCTTATATTGTTAGAGTCTGTAAACAAGTCAGGATGGTGCCTGGCATTTTGCCAAGGGAATGTTAGAGTCTGTAAACAAGTCTGGATGGCGCCTGGCAAAATGCCAGAGGGAGTGGTTTGTGAAGTAACACCAGCGAGCCATTAAGTGTGGAGATTCCTTATTGGTTGACTGATGTATCTAGTTTATGCTAATTAGATAAGCTGTGTGGAATGTATAAATACTGCTCCTGTCCTGCAATAAATGGCTCCTACTCCTGCTGTATCAATCTACACAAGTTGTTCGTCACCCCCCGGTTATTTTGCTGCAGCCGGACTGCGGCATTATATTAGGTAGAGGGAAGTGATGGGAGGGAAGGGGAGGGGATGTGGGGATAGGAAAGATAGTAGAATTAAACAGACATTATTACTGTATGCATATATGTGACTGCATGACCAATATGATTCTGCAACATGTACACTCAGAAAAATGAGAAATTATATCCCATCTATGTATGATATATCAAAGTGCACAAATGCATTCTACTGTCATATATAACTAATTAAAACAAATTTAAGAATTAAAAAAAACATTCAAACTATATCTAGAACAGGTAAGAAAAATAAATCTTATATTCTATAGCACATTGTTATTTACAAATGTGGTATTCCATTTCTCTTGAGCCTAGCTGAAGGTCTCTCAACCCTCAGTCATAGCAAGGCAGAAATTTGTCTGATAAGAAAACTGATACAGTGCATCTCCAACTCAAGGTCATAGAACTAGCTGCCGCAGCCCGGCTGGCTGGGCAAAATAACTGGGGGGTGACGAAGAACTTGTGTACATTGATACAGCAGGAGAGGGAGCCATTTATTGTAGGACAGGAGCGGTATATATACATTCCACACAGCTTATCTTAATTAACATAAACTAGATACAGCAGTCAACCAATAAGAAATCTCCACACTTAATGGCTCACTGGCGTTACTTCACAAACCACTCCCTCTGGCAAAATGCCAGGCGCCATCCAGACTTGTTTACAGACCTTAACACTAACAAAGTTCCAGAACCCCAAATTCCATTTCTCTGCTTCACGATATCTTAGTAATTATGAAATCTAGTTGATGTTTTAAGAGAGTGAGATTAAAAACTCAAAGCATGACTTGCAGGTACTTCTGGCCTGATGAAGCGCCAGCCTTTCTCAGCTTGGGAAACCCTCACAAATCTTTTGAAGACTTTCTTCAGAGCCTCCTGCACTTCCTTGTTTCTCAGGCTGTAGATCATGGGGTTTAGCATGGGAATGATTACAGTGTAAAACATTGACACAATCTTGTCTTCCCAGAGGGACTTGCCCATGTTACCTTTCAGGTAAATGAATATGAGTGTCCCAAAGAATAGAGCCACCGCCATCATGTGAGAAGTACAAGTGGAGAAGGTCCTGGCTTTACCACCCGCTGTCTGAATCTTCAGAATGGCCCAAATGATGAACATGTAGGATATAAGAATCACTGAAATGCTCAAGATGATGACCAGGAAAGCAAAGAGGTAGATGACCTGCTCCCGGGGCCTGGTCTCACTACAGGCCAGTTTCAGCAGTGGTGGAAGGTCACAAAAGAAGAAGTCCACTTGATTGGATTTACAGAAGGAGATGGAGAAGGTACACCCAGTGCGGACCACGGAATTCACCATGGCACCAGCATATGCAGCAGCCACCAGCCCCAGGCGGGTATGCGGTGTCATGGCCGTGGCATAGAGGAGGGGATTACACACAGCCACGTAGCGGTCATAGGCCATCACAGCCAAAAGGAAACACTCGGTGCTACCATAGAACGTAAAAAAGAAGAACTGGGTGGCACAGCGCTCGTAGGTGATGACCGTCTTCTCAGTCCTCAAGGTCTCAAGCAACTGAGGGACAATAACAGAAGAGTAACAGATGTCCAGGAAGGACAGGTGGCTGAGGAAGAAGTACATGGGAGTCTGCAGCTGAGGTTCACTCTGAATCAGCATGATCATGCCCAGGTTTCCCCCCATGGTGATGAGATAAAAGGCCAGAAACACGAAGAACAAACATAACTGCAGCTCTGCGTGAACCTGGAACCCCATCAAAATAAACTCCACCACCCTGGTGCTGTTCTCTGCCATGAAGCCAAGGTCACCTGCTGAAATAAAATAATAAGTCTCATTGAGGATCCACTAAGGTGACGAAGGCTGGATTTAATCATTGCTCAGTAATATAATGATTTTTTTTTTTTAGATTTGTAAACTACTGTACATTTTTCACAAACTTCGTTGCACTTGATCCTTCAGAAACCCTGGGAAGCACATGTTGTTAATCCCACTTTTGACAGAAGAATATAAGGGAAAAAAGAAGTGAAGTGATTCGTTCAAGATTCACCGTAACCAGGCAAAGCCAGGGTTAGAATGTGCTTCTTCGAATACCTCCAAACACTTGCAGGTCCCATGTTAGAGGCTATATCAGCTTCACATAGAGCCATAAAACACTGCATTGGAAAAACCCTAGTGTTATAGTCCAAAACCCTAGTGTTATAGTATTAAGGACTGGGCTTTGAAATCACCAGGTTTAAATCCTTTCAGACCTTGAGCAAGTAATTCACTTGTCTGACCCTAGGCCTCCTTCTTGGTTTAATGGGATTACAACCCAAAGTCTTAACATTAAGGTGAAAGACATATTTGCATACTGTGCATGGCCCTTGATCTCACTCACACTTAGAATTATGTTTTCCAAATGTGGTATACATACAATGAAATACTATTCAGCTATAAAAAGCAAGGAAATCCTGTTATTTGTGAAACATGGATGAACCTGGAAGACATTACATAAAGTGAAATAAAGCCAGGCATAGAAAGATAAGGACCACATGTTCTCACTCATACATGCTATCTGAAAGTTGAACTCAGATAAGCAGAGAGTAGAATGGTATAGTAGGGGTACTAAGGAGATGCTGGTCAAAAGAAAAAAAATGTCAGTAAGTTCAGGACATCTATTGTACAACAAGGTGACTATAGTTAATAGCAAGGTATACTTAAAAATTGCTGAGAATAGGTTTAAGTGTTCTCACCACAAAAAAAGTATAATATATATTAAGTATCTTGATTTAGCCATTCCACAATATGTGCATATCTCAAAACATTGTTATAAATACCATAAATATACACATTTTTTTCTTGTTAAAAAATAAAAAATGATGAATCCATACAAAATTTTTTCTTAATTATGAGATAATGGGAATGACACACTACTAGATTCAGTCTGGAATCTTCTTATCACCAAGTCCACAGCCCCCTGGAGTTCCAGCATCAACTTTGCCTATGTGCACCTAAGCACAGTGAACTTAGATGCTAGACAGAGGGACATAAAGAGCAAGCACAGTTAGAACCTCCGCAGCCTGCTGCCTGCCAAGTCGCTTCCCCATCTCTGCTCCTGCCAAGCATTATGGCCTGGTTTCCAAGTGCTCTTCTTATTCCCAAGGATCTGCCCCAATTAAAAAAAAAAAATACCAGATCATTATCAATCAATGAGATGCCTGCATCCTGCCATTCCAGAATTAGCCTGCAAAACTCATTAAGGGACAAAGCCGTCACATTGAGTTTACAATTCTAATACAGATGGGGTTCCTGCCAGGTACAATCTTGTCTCTGTGCCTTTGGATGCTAATAATTTGGGGAACTGAAAATATGGAATGTGGACTTCAAAGATAATTCCTCGTATACTCTTTTCATCCTTGAAACAAAACCTGAATTTGAGAAAAATCTCCTATTGCACTTCAGTTAAGTAACAAATCAAACTTTGATCAGCGTTTGGCAACAATGCTCTAATGGTAGAACAAAGGTCAGCATCTGATGGGGACTTTCGCCTCACACCAAGTTCTTAATAGTATAAATATTTAGATTGTTTTCCTGTTCTGAGGGCTAAATCTTATCTTGATCTTCTCCCAGAACAATGACTTGCTGTGTTCTTCAGAGTTCAAGCATATCATCCTGACCCGATGGAAAAAGAATCTGTATTCATGTTTTTATTCAGTAAGAATCTACTGAGAATTTACCCTGTACCAGGCTCTCTTCTGATTGCTTAGAACAAAACAGACTAAGAAAGATCTCTGCCTGTGGAGCAGACATTGTAGCAGAACCGTCTATATACAATATGCTTTAAAGAGAAGAAATATATTTTCTACCATGATAGCAGATGACAAGTTCTATGAAAAGAAATGCAGGATGTGGGGAATTGAGGGTATGCAAGTAAGAAGGATATTGAACAGGACAATCCTAAAGCTCATTGAAAAGCAATGTCAAGCAGAAATGATGAGATCAGGTAATAATTATTCACATTTATTTGCACACACTATTTACCCAAAATAATATTTAAATGACATTTTAAAAAATAGCAGTAGACTTTCCCGTTCCCATTACAAAATATGTGAAGTTTTTTCAGGTCCTTTTGAGACATTTTTAAGACAACATTCTTCAAGGGTATTATCCTTCGAATAACAAAGAGAAGCCCCTGAAGTACTGGAAGTTCCATAGGGAGCCCAGGATAACCTAGCATAAAGGTAAGGCTGGATCCCAGAAATAGAGCACAGTGGCCAAGAAACGGGCCCTGAAGATACACTGAGCTTGTTCCAAACCTGGACCTAGCCATTTCCATTTGTGTGAACTTGGACAAATTCCTTGACCCCTAGAATCAATTTTGATACCTATGCAATAACAATAATAGCACTGCTGTGCTTTGAGGAAAAGATAGAATTCATGGAAACACACTGTGCCTAATACAGAGCACATCTGACACATGAAATTATTACAAAAATGGTTTTATAACCCTTTGGTTCTTCAACCGTTAAGAAATTTAATTTATCACTGCTTTATTGCTGAGTAAAATCAGTCTCGAATTGGGTAAACCACTCTCTCAAAGTCATGCAGTTAATAAACAGCACCAGGGTTTCCACCTCTAAATCCACCACACTTTCCACTAACCTAAACCATGGCCCATACTTCAGCTGGACACATAAACTAAATTGGTTGTACTTTTATCTTTTGGTAATAATTATAATGAGCGACGTGAGGAGAGTGCCCAGTATGTTAACTATTGCTCTAGGTATTTCACGTAAACTGCTTCATTCATTCATTTCTCACAATACCCCAACATAGCTCATCTTCTTACAGACACACAAGCAGAGGCTGGCAGAGATTAAGTCGTTTGGTTAGGTAAACCACCAAGCAGGGATTTGAATCATGACCTGTCAGACCCCAAGGTCATGCTCCCAATCATCCCCTTGTTCATGAGTACAATAACAATGAGAGTTACCAGGCTGTGAGCACTTTTCTTATACCCAGGACTTTTCCATTAGTTTTACAAACATTACCCTCTTACACTTGGGGCAAGGAGAAGACTAATATTAAATAAAAATCTTGGCAAATTACCCTAGTTCTGAGTTGGAAGCACTGCCTAGTTTCTCCTCCTTATAACCTCACCGTATTTTGTGTGTCCTATCTGCAGGAAGGGGAAGGCAGGAGAGGTGCTCAGGCTTACAATCAGAACGGAACTCCTAGCAAGGATTCTCACCCTCTCAGAACATCCCCTCTATTGTAAATCCATTCTTCCCTAATCCCCCATTATACCTCTAGCACAGAATTAAGTTGAAAGATGACAGTCATGTGAACATGCCCTGATTACCATCTGCTAGTAGATACTCCCCTTTTGCCCAAATCTCATTCCTCATTTTTAATTTATCTTATCTTGCTGCATGTTGTGCATTTTTATAAACCACTTTAAATCTCTTTTGGAAAGAGGTATTGATGAATAAATAAATACAAAATAAAATTGCCCATTTGCTGGATGCCAGAATAATCAGAATAATTATCCCTATCAGCATCAGGCCAATAACAGTGCCGCCAGAGGACTCTGCCAAATGGGTTCTGGAAAGACAATGCACAAACAGGCATTCAACCTAAATCAGACTGATCTATGTATGGGTGATGGAGAAAGGCAGATGCTCAAGGAGAAAATGGAAAAGCTTAAGGAGGTCTCCAGGTCTGCCATACTACAGCCAGCTCCTGAAATCTTAAAGTCTCAAGATAGCTCCCTAGACCTTCATTTTGAGACAGTGTGGGGAGAGGTTCTCCTAGTCCATAGCAAACCTGATGAGATCCTTCTCGGCATCAACTGTGTCCACTTTAATGGGCAGAAGAAAATTTTGAGGGAAACCAAGATTTTCCAGTGGTTGCTGATCTTCAGAAGAGCTACCATATTTTTTTCCAAAAACTATCACCTTGCCATGTGATACACAGTCTAAATTCCTAAAACACTGCTGAATGATTTATAATTCTAGGCAGAACAGCCTTAATCAATTTCCTAATAATTAAGATTAGGGAAAACAGCAACTCCACATAACATCAAGGTGGGAAGAAGAACCATGGATGTGTGTGGACTTAGAAGAAAGTATTTGGTCTCAGGCATTCAGAAAAACTAAATGACCAGGAGAGTATGAATAGAATACTGAAGAATCAGTTTCCTGTTTTTGAAGCCCTCAAAATAGTTGAAATCATTGGCTTTTAAGGACACACCAAAAGAAAGTGAGTCTTGAATACCATCCTCAATCATATGGAGCAGCATTAGCATTTAACATTCACAACAATCTGTTACCAAATTGTTGATCAGGTGTGCAAACACTTCACTTCTGGGGGCCCTGCTATAATGTGGCTCCGTAATTCTGGGTCACCCTCCACCGAGTTAGTAACGTCTGCCCAAGACTCACAGCCTCATTTCTATATCAACCAACAATACACACAACTAAGATATGTGATCCTTTACAGCTAAAGCAGATTGTCTGCTCTTTGAGATTATTAATACTCCCCAACCCTCCTCTTAATCTCAGAAAACTAAAGGGGGTTTCAGAAGAAAGTTCAGTGGACCTTAATAGGCTCCATCTGTCATTCTGGAGAAGAAAGAGTACTGTACTAAGAACCAAGAGGCTGCTAAGAATCAAACAAGAAAATGCACAGGAAGATGATTCTAAAATTAAAAAAGTTTGCACTTGCAAGGGATTTCTATAAGTGCCCAGAGATCAGCTTTATAATAGCACATGCTGGGGGAAATAAATAGTCATGGATCTGAAGAGTATTTATATAGCTCAGTAAAACTAATCCACTTAGATCCTCCAAGTCCGTTTAAAGTTGTCTTTAAATGGTGACATGTAAAGGTGGTGTTCTATGCCTAAAGTTATGTAGCCAGTTTTCTTGGCTGGAATCATGCAACAAAAATTTATAAAGGCTTTGCCCATGAACTCTGCGCCAGGCAGTATACTGGACACCAGGGATGTAGTGAGAAATATTTAGAGCTAAACAGACATGGATGATGGTGCTTTGCCCTCTGCCCCATAATCGAATTGGCATCCTCTGCCTGTGCTGTCTTAAAGAGGAAAGAGGAAAACAGATGAGGTATAATGTTTTGGCTGCCTCTCACTGTGACAGGGACAACTTGGACCCTCAGGATGTTTAAATGATGGGAAAAGTATGTCAGTTCCTTCTGCCACGTTTGAAATGGTTCAACTTAAGGATGAAAATAGTTTCTATCCAAGGGCTCCCTGTTACCCTCAGAAAACATTGGTTGATTATTTTCTAATTGAATAAAAACTCATCAAGACATAGAAAAAAAATATTATCTGGCAATATATTGCACTGAAAATAGCAAAAAAGGCAGAATCAGCAAGGTATCAAGAAACTAAACTGCTTTGAAGTTCTGTCACAGTGGGGTCAAATCCCAGCCAGTCACTTAAAGTCCCTGGATTTCAGCTCTTTGTTCTATGCAATGGTCACGATGCTACCTAAGCCACAGGAGTGTCATGAGGATGAAGTGAGATGAAATATTGTGGGTTCAGAAAAGGACAGTTCTGCTGCATACGAGAGAAGATGTGAATCCCATCTCCCAGATACTACAAACTGCTCATAATCCCTCACTTTAGAACATTATGGACCCGTTACCTCATTTGACCCTCACACAAACCATTTTCAGATAAAGAAAGTGGGACACAGAAAGTTCAATGGAATTGTCCAAGGGCCACACAGCTAGAGAAGCAAAGCTGCCAGACCCAGGACATAGACCCTTCCTACCACACCACACGCCACAGAGATATGTGTACCCTATATGAAATAGCCAGGAGAGGGGGCGTGAAACACTGAGATC